TATTTGATAAACAATCTCTTTTATACACAGACATGCTTACAATAGCAAGCTAATAAATTATATATCTTTTGCATTATTGATTATGAATAGTGTTTTAAATAAATGCAAACAATTAAACATTAAGGGTAATAGCAATTTCTAAGAATAAAAATTAGCAGATGGAAAAAAATTTTTGTTTATTGGTTAAAAATTTGTTTGTTATTAATTAAAAGTTATTATAGTAAATTAATTTTCCAATGTTTAGCTCAAGATAATGTTTGAAGTACTGTTCCATATATCAAAGTAATCTAATTCAAAAAAAAAAAAGAAAAGATTTTTGCATACCAAAGTGGTGTGATAAGAGTCAAAAATTATTTCAATATTGTTAATTTTCGCAGTCAAGTAATTTTGACTTTTTTTTTTTCATTTGAATTTTTTGATATACGAGAAGTGCGCATCCATTTTAATCATTGCTAAATTTCTTAAAAAAACCAAATTGATTTCATTTTGCTTTTTTCTTCTCCCATAGAACTATTCGCTGAGTTTTGTAAAATCCTTTTTCATCTTTTTTTTTTCTGCTACTCACTATGCGAAATTACCGTTATTCGAAATTTTTCTGCATATCGGATGGTTCTGTTCCGTTTCCAGAAATAAATCAACAAATATGTAATTAGCGAACTCAATTTTTGTCCTTTTTAGTGTATTGAAATTTAAAAAAAAAAAAGGAAAGATTTTGAAATCGTAAAAAAACGAGGATCAATTTATTGGCCATTTGAAGTGCAATTTTTTTTTTTTTTTTTTAAAAAGGACATAAGTATAATTATCCGGTAATATTAAAACATATAATAGTATCGTGAGTTTATTTATTGTCCATTCTCTTGAATATTGAAATTTCAGACAAATTTGACATTTTCCTTTTTAGGGAATCCTAATTTTCAAACTTTATAAAATCAGCAGTTGTTTTTCCATTTTGCTCAAAGGCTGTTATTTGTTGATGCTAAAAGCGTATAATTGCAAATGTTATCATTTTGAATGTAATTTATACGATGCAGAAAATTACTAATTATTAACGATAAGAGAAAGCTTATCATATTTTATTTGCATTTAATTCAGGTATGGAAAGTAGCTTTTAAGCTGGCACTCAATAAATCATCTGGAAAGAAATTGACCCGGTATTGACCCCAAAATATCCTATTACTTGTGCTTTTCCATCCTGTAATTAACTGTCACACAGTGATACCAACAGATGGATTAGCCAACAGCTGACAATAATTTTCCACACTCTCTTGCGTATATACATATCCAGAAAGATTTATGATTGCCAAGTGGTACTTAAAGGAATTAATGGAAATGATTTTTGGTATTCAAATAACAAATTGCTGTCATAATGATAATTTATTTGAAATTTCAAATTTTTGAAAATGAATTCAAAAAATTTTCCTTCTCTTCTTTTTCTACCTCTTTCAGTTTTTAAACAAACTATTTTCAAGTAAAATTATGATTCATTTTTAACTTTTTAAAGAAAAATAATATAACCCTGAAATTAATTTCTATTGTAAAAAAAATTTTTTCAAAAATCTTCTTATCAAAAAAAAAAAGAAGAAAATGGATCTGATTGCTGCTATTTAATTTTTGTTGCAAACAAGGATAGATTATAAAAAACAAAAAAAAAAGAGGCGATAAGTGTTTGTCGGGAATTATATGGAAGGTAAGTGTTGCCGAGAATTATTATATCAGAAGCAGATGTTTGAGCATTCCCAATACGGCATCCTTTTAATTCCACTATGCTTAAATGAACACATTAAAGTGCGATAGTTGAGTCGAAATTAGCAACAAATATTGGGTGTCATAAAGCTGCGGGAAGCAATTTTATTCTTCCGGGTCAAAGATTAAAATTTCTTATCGCACATTTGCAACATGCAATCAGTATGACCAAACATACCTTGGCCTATTATTATTTTTGTTTCCTACACATCACAGAAATTGCATGTATTTTACATCGAGCATACCTTTACTTTGTTTTTTTTTTTATATATTTTCATGGAAGATTAAATTAAAGTGTCAAAGATTAATAAATATATTTTTCATGACAAGCATACTTTGATGCCAAGCATATGTTAGTTTTTTTTTTTTTTGTACTTAAAAAGTTTAATTGAATCATCACAAATCAATGAT